GAGAGAGAAATAACTAGCTAAACCAGAAGAATTCAGTCTAGGCTGCCGAATTAATGTTACAGGTGCTCCTAGCAGTGAGACGTCGTTGCCAGATGAACTAGCGCTAGATAGGGGCACATTACAGAGCTCGCAGAGCTCACAGGGACATAAGGGTGATAAAGAGTTGAACCTTCCTAGAGCAATTCCTCTGACAGAGTCCATGGAACGTGCGTGCTCATACCAGCAGAGTCAAAATGAAGGTACTGGAGACACGGCCGAGAGACACTGGGTTCAAAAGGGAGGTGGTGTGAGCGGGACAGCCGGCCCGTCGGCTTCCCACAGGAGAAAGTGGAGAGCCAGGGGAGGCCGAGAGCTGGGCAAGCAGCACCGAGGCCAAGAAGGCAAGGCCAGCCACAGTATTTTAGACAGACATTTTGGGGTAAAGCTGGAGGTGCGATCTATCATTTAGCTTGAACTTTTTCAGGAGGCCTAAGTGTGTAATTCAGTATTAGCTAATTTAAGAAGAGTAGTGAGTAGTCAGTGGGGATTAGATATCAATATGAGTAGAACTTCAACCAATAAAAGAAACCAACAGAGGCAACATGTTGACTTAGTTCTTAGATAGGCTAATCAGATCTTCAAAGACCAGAAAACTTCAGGGCTTTTCTCAAGTCAACAAAAACAGTTCAAGAACAAACTAACCACAAGTAGTTGGTTAGTTAAGATTAAGATTAGATGGCATGAATCGTACCTGACTGTTTTACATAGATGGGGCTTATTTTGTTAGGGACTAAGGTAACAGAAGCAGGATTGTGCACTCCACCTGCACCCAGGGAAAGGTTTCATCTGCAGGTATTCTGCAGCCTTGTCTGAATTCCTCCTCAGTGTTCTAGCAAATAACTTTTACATTTATTTAAGAATCTTTATTTTGGTTTTCATTTTATATCCCTGTAATCTCCAGTTTCATGTCACTGTCACGCAAATTTCCTTCACCATATCATTAGTACGTTGTTCCTTATTTACTCATTGTACTGAGTGCACAACGTAACGAGGGAAGCTCCTTCTAATTACTCTGCCTATTACTGCAAAATCCTATCTCTGGGGTGACCGCCCTGAACTCTCTGGTTTGCAGTGACTACCTGGGGTAAACAGCAGAAAAGAGTCACTGCGCTCAAGGTGCAAGACAAGGACCGGGAAATTGCTATGCTGGGCTTAAGGTCGGGTGGTTGAGGCGGTGCAAAAAGAGAAGTCTATTCCTTTTACACCTCCTGCACTGTTAGGTAGGAAGAGGCCCAAAAGTGTGATGTCCAGATGTGTCACCAGGACTGAGGCCAGATGCTCACCCATTCCCAGCATCAGGCTGTATTTCACAGGAGATACAATCTGTATGAACCAACAAACCTCTGTGAAGCAAAGCAACACTTTGCTTTGTACTCCGTAACTGTGATGCTTTGCGAAGGCAACTCCATAATTGCCAAATGTCTTCTTGCAAGATCTCAGACCTTTCCCTCCCACTTTTTTGTAATCAAACCTCATTACCTTTATCACAGGGAAAACCATGCTGCTGAGAAGCCTCAAGCAGAACTAAATGGGAAAGGGCAAGAGGAGTACTCTTTCTGGCTACAAGAACTAAGCAGCTTTCCGCCATAGTCATCCTCAATGGAAGTGCTTGTCTCTGGTCTTCCCATTTCCCACCTTTCCTTTCCACACTAGATTTAATGTCTAAACAAAATACCCTTTTTGCTGCCTCCAGCAACATGCCAACTTCTCTTTATATGCATTTACAGGCCCACCATCCCTTCTGGCATCAAATCCTCACCTTTGCTTTCAAGCTGCCACATGTCATTACATCTGTCTGCTTTCCTTCTCTGGTTTCCCTCAACTCCTTTCACTCATATCCCTGGTTTCCTTTGTTGATTCTCCTTGCAGTGCTTTCTCACCTGTACTTATTTGTCCAACACAAATTCATAGTCCTCTTGTACTCACATTACAATCCAATTCCACCAAAACATGGACTGTCACTGGACACTGATGCTAGGGTGCACTCAGTAGCTTACAGTGCTGAGCAAGCTATCAATGATTAAATGATAACGAAGGGAGAAGACAAGAGAAAGGACGGGAACAGGGGAACAGTTAAATAAAGCGTGAGAGAGGGTACTGCGAGTAAGCAATAGCCATGCAACATGAACATAACCTGGGAGAAGCTGAACTTTCAGAGTAGGATGAGGTAGCAGATGATAAGGAGAGAGTGGATACTGATTCAGATGTGGATACATCATTTAAAAGAAAAGGACAAAAATACAAAAATTAATCTGTTTTCATATTAATAATCTTGAAGTTACTAATAGGGTCAAAAAGATTGTCAGCAACCTTTGTGAGCTTTACACTAGTAATAAATGACTGTTTAGAACAGATTCTCAACACCCCCCATAAAAACGGGAACAACATCCTTTTTTCTGAAGAAATGTCCTATTGGGGTGAAATAAATTAAGGGCAGCGAGCTGACAGTTTAGGAACTAACTCTCATGACCAATTACACAGCCATCTTCTGTTTTTCCTATACATATTTCTAGCTGAGTGGCACCGGTGTGAGGTTTATTACTAGAACGGCATTCATCATGACTCTCGCTACATGCAAACACTGCCCCTGGCACCTCCCCTCTGCCTCGCTCACTCGATGAGAGAGAAAATCCAGTGGCCTATTTTAATGCCATGGCTCAGGAAGGCATTCTCACCGCATTTTTAGTGTATAACTCAGAAGGATGTTAGCACAGTATATTTTTTTAATCTCTAAGTTAATACAACAGAGAATTGTATTAAAAGACCATTATGTTGGAAGGCACAGCGAGGTTAGGAAATGTTGAAGTTGCCCGCACATCCTGACTGCTGAACTGCATCATGATACAGTCTTCAGCTACTCGACTGCACGCTCGCCCTCTGAGCATCCATACAATATTTCTTTGTCTTCATTATTCAGTGTGGCCCAGTCCCTATTTCCTGCACATTACTCAAAACCTGTGCTGAACACAGAATGATTAATTTTATAAAGGTTTTCTCCATGGCATTATCTTGATTGTTTATAAATGGCCACGAGTTTGATTTCTCAATGACCAGCTGAGGTGCAGGGATGGTATCACCCTACACCGAGGCAAGAGTGTTAGATGTGTGCACTGCTTGTAGGAGATCAAGCAAAGAAGGCTAGCACTTGAATTTTCAAAGTCATGAGTACAACACAGACCTTGATGATCCAAAGAAGATCTCTACTGGCTTTAGATACATCTTTGAGCATTCAGCATGCCTGAAAATCAGTTTCCACATGGAGAAAAACCAGAACATACAATATGTCAACGACCGTATCACAAATCTCTGCTGCTTCCATGTCTAATATAAAGTCTGAGGCTTGTCATTCTCTGTGGGAACCGAAAACAGGCAAATGAGGTGACATTCATTTTGCCAGCAGGTTTTGCAAGTATTTATTATGCAAAGTGGATTGGTGAGACAAAGGTCCTCTGTTCACGCCCAAGTTTTGCAAGGAAATGTATTTAGTGGTCACAGACTCTTAACCTCCAAGCCCTATTCCTCTGCAGCCACATTTCTTCTGTCCTTACGCTTGTCCTGTTCCCACCTCTCACATACCCGTCTCTGCTCTGTGCCTTCATCCCTACATTTTCCTGCCGGCTCCTTATCCCAAATGCTCCCTCTTCCCACTGCCTCCCATTTTTGACCCTACATTCTCAACTGCCTTTTGCAGGCTCCTGGTGCCTGCCATGTTTCAGCTCCCAGTTCTCTGCTGTCTCCTGTTCCTGACCTCTTTGCACAGCCAGCCCTCAAATGCTTGGTCTAAAGTTCCCATGCCTGCGTTTAAGCCTCATGGATTTCTCAACGGATTTCTTCTGCAGTACAGCACAGCTCCTGCTCAGTGGTTTATCCCTTCTACACCCAGATTTGAGAAAAGAGAATCTCCCTCATTCCCAGATTCCAGTTCTAAAGCTGGTGCCACAGAAACTTTTGGCAAGATATGAAGTCTTGGGTACGTACAAGGTGGAGAGTATTTCACGTTACATAGATAAACTTTGACTGAAAGCAATAAACACCAGAAAAATCTAATCATAAGCAGTGATTCCAGACCAACCTTCTCTGGTTTCACCATCAACCTATCCACCCTGTAATTAGACCTTGAATGCACTCCTTTCATTGAGGTTTTAAAAGACAAATTTAAAGTGTTCAGATGATAACTGTTGCTATGAAAAGCAGTACACCACAAAAAAACCCCCAACAAATTAATGAGTAGAAAAAACTTCAGTGTAAGCATAAGGTCCAGCCTGGAGATTTGATGATCCTTTTGGATGAACCTGTAACATCGCTAACATGATTTTGTAAATGGAGTAAGAAAAATCTGATGTATCAATGACATCACAACTAGATCAATACACAACATCTCAACCTTCTGTTCAAATTTTTTTTTTTTCACTTTTGCTCACAGCTGATACGAACAGATATAACTTCTGGAACAGAGAAGGCAGAGGGAAAGCAGATGTGCTCCAGCAACCAAAAAATGTTTAAGAAAAACCCAGCACCCTCCCAGGCTCACAGCTGTCCTGCTGCACATTCAGTTCAAACCCTGCATGGTCTTGTCTGCTTACGTGTGGACTGATTGCAGAGCTCTACTTGTAATATTCACATTTGGCGAGAGTTCAGCATCTGAAACACTAAAAAGTGGTCTCCGTTTCCACGGCTTGCCCGTTTTTTCCGGGACCACTAGATGGCATGTCCCCATCCACCAACGAGGGCTCTGCTACCTGCCCAGCAGCTGTGTCCGCCTTCGCACCTCGTCTGCCACACAGGCTTCTTGCGGAGCCGTCAGCAAGAGCGGCTCTGGGCCAGCGTCCTACCTGAAGGATGTACGGCTTTGCACCTCTAAATGGCAACAGAAGAAATTTCCACAAGCAGCCCAGAGGGTGCTAAATACTAAACACAGGCCTTATTGACAAGACAGGTTCTCCACGTCATGTCTTACTCACCCAGAATTTTACGAGGAAGAAAGCGTTTTGGGGCCCCTTCCCAAACAGTTCCTTTAGACCGCCCTTCTTTTCAGGAAATTTGTCATAAATCTGACGAATGTCCACCGATTCAAGCAACGGGTCACTGTAAGAATGGTTAGCGTGTCCAATGTGTACGAAGAGGTGTTTATTGTACTGCAAGAAAGAAACAGGAAAATCAGTGCTGTACAAAAAGAGTAAAGGTTTATTAAGGCATGGGTCTGCAAGTGCTCCTGCAGAGGGTAGCGCTCTTTGATGGATTAAATGACTCGCACATTACTCCTGGGACTATGATTTTCTGCAGTATGATTTCCATGAACAACTTGGTGATTGTGTCGTAGCCCCTTGTCAACAAGGGTCAACATCAAAAAACCTGTCTCCCTACTACAAACCACAAAACATGGTCATCTTCAAGGAGTAATTTACACTGAAAGGCCCAGCGGCAGCATGGTGATAAAGAGCCCTTCGCAGAGCATAATAAGACTAATACGCTCACGAGGAAAGCCTATTTCTGCCTCTTTAAACCGTGCCTTTTAGTGCCCCGTGTCCTCAGAGCCTGAATTTCTGCTAGTGCCCCAGAGCCCACACATATACACCTCCTGTTTGTCTATTAAAATCCCCAAACCTCTATCTATAGCATATGCTAATGCCCCTTAACTAAAAGAGATGGAAGCGTTTTTCTTTTAACTCTAGAATGACAATAATGAGAAGGCCAGTTACGCTGTGTTGCTGTTACTATAGAAGTGGTCCTTATTGTATGTCTTCCAGTATTTTGACCCATGTAATATTAAAGAGCCAAACTTCTAGCACTTCCCTCAGGAGCTAGCTCTATAGATGACCACTGTTGCCAAAACACATTCAGCTTCAATTTCCTGTTTCTTAACTTTATCCCATCACATCTCATTATAATCACAGGAATCACCTCAGCAAACCCTTTCCTGCCTGGGGGAAACCCTTGGCCCAGTGAAGTCCACAGCAGCCCCCTATGGGGTCCAATATGGTCTTTTAGGGGCTGCCATTTCTCCAAGATGAGAGCACCTTCCAGCTCCTGAAATGAAAGAACAAGGAAGCAGGCTGAAGGAGCTCAAGAGCAGCAGGAGTAAACATTTTTTAACCATGCAGATGACAAAACATTTTGCTAACTCAATTAAAGTAAAGCTGATATGCAGTCAATGAGCACTAGAAAACCCTGTCATATTGAACAGATGCTGTATATAAGGGGAAATTCCCAAAAGCTAAGCACAAATAAAATATTTAAAACCCCAAAGCAGGCTTCATTTAAGCTATTTTGTTCACAATATACCTGCCGAATGAACAAATTGAAATGACAAATCTAAAATAATCGGACATCCACTCAGAGCCTTCCTTTGGTGTAAGCAGAGTCTTCCCTAGCAGATGTCCAAAACTCTGGGGAAAAGGAAATGGGCTGGCTAGATTTCTGCACTTAGGAAATTAAATTGAAATCTATTTAAAAATCGTCTAGCACAGTGAAATCTGAATTTAGAATCAGAGAACAGTCATCTGTGTATGGGGCCAAAAACGAGATACGTTCCATGCTTTTTACAGAGTTGTATTTCTTTCTTAATTTTGTGGAAGGAAAAAAGAACACGTAACACTTTATTAAGGTGTTTGCACAAGCAAGTCCAAGTCTGAGAGCATCGGTTCCATGGATTTTCCTTGCAGCTCTCTTCCAAAATCACGCCATCCCAGCTTCTTCTGTGCACATGTGGAAAACTTGCCAAGCCTTTACTTAGTGCATGTGAAGCCCAAAAGGGGCAGAGCTGATCCAAAGAAGCTTTCTACCATGAAGAGGAAAACAGGTATGGCAGAGAAATAAATGGGCGGTGGGGAGCTGAATGCATGCTAGCAGGAGTGAGTGTGCCCATGAACGTGTGTCAGCTAGCCCTCATCCAGCGCTGGTCTAACTTGCACGCTGATCATTTACACACGATACAGGAGATCCTTGTACTGGTTGGCAAACATGAGTGACTACCATAACAGTGTCCACAGCCAGATTTAGCATGTTACTTTATGCAGTAGTGGCAGAAGTGGACTAAGGCGACATTTTAACATGACACAACAAACAAAACAAAGAATGCAAAATAATCTGAGAAAGCATCATGGCTCCAACTTTTGTTTTTTTGACACTTGTCACATATTTAGCTTGCAATACTGTGAGTAAATAACTAAAAGTCATGCTGAACATTTCTTACGTCTCTTGCTGCCTACTGAAAAACTTATACCTCAGCAAAATGTATCAGCACCCTTGGCCAGGAATACACGAAAGCGAGTCCAGAAACCTGCTCCTGCTGCTTTCCTAAGCTACCAGGGGTGAAGTGCAGGAGGACAGGGCATGGGCTGGGGCACCGAATGTGGCTATTGATGGAAGCCTATCTGCGATCAGGCAAACCTCTCCATTTTTCAAGTAGAATGATGCGAATTCCCCAGTAGAGGTAAGCACTTCGGCCTCCTCTGAAAAATTAAACCGAAACATTTCCCTTCCCTCAGCACCCCCGTAGCCTGCCCAGGAGTGCCCAGGAGTTGTGAGCTCCCTGGGGATGTGAGATGCCCCAAAGCACCTCTCTGCTCTCCCTCGTTCAGAGTAAGGGCTTGAAAAACCATCCCCACCATGAATGACCAGGTTATTATTTATTTGGCGATTTTTTCCTCTCAGCCTTCTCTGCTGGAGTTGTTCCAGGTTGTACAAATAACCACATTTTTAAAAGAATAGAACTGAGGGCTCAGGTCGTCCAGCGCCCAGGAAAGTGTCCTCCCCAAAAGGGAGGTGTCTGTGTGTGTGTGTGTCCATCTCCCAGGCCCAAAGGTGGCTGTGGAGTGAAGGAGGAAGGGAGAGCTATAAGTTACAGTTCACCCTGTACCTTATTCTGCAAACCAGGAAAATATACAAATTGCTCAGTATCCAAACTTTAGTAAAAGCAAACACATTTATAGGAATATGGACCATGAACTCTTAATATCATTTAAATATAAAAGCAAAGTTAAAGGCAGCTGTAAAGCTACCACTGTTGTCTTCAGAGCTCGCCAAAGTACCAGATGCTGCTGCAGCAAAATTTCCGAGTGGGTACAGTAGGCCAGATGGTATGACATCACCTGACAACATTCTTGGGACAGAAATGTTTATTTTGATATTGCAATGTGTGATTATTTTCTCCTTATGTTGCTGCAATTCCTATGCTAAGTACAATCATTACTAACTTAATTAAATATGGCATATTTCTACGAACTAACAAATGATAATGTAATATTATGAGCAGGGTAAATGGATACTGAAATGATCCCTATAGTTTTCATACAAACATACCCCATGACAGGAATTTATGCATAGATAAAAGCAAAGAAGCTAAGTTTTACCCTGTATTTTTGAGCCCATTAGTGTCTGAAAAGCTTAAAAACATCCTCATTATACTGGGAAATCACTGTTCTTTCAGACTGAGTATTCCAGAGTCACTAAAGTACATTAGATGCTGAGGAATTTATTCCTGCTACAGCATTTAAAGGATTTGCATCCAGCATCAGGGTAATAATTGTGCTTTAGATGCTGTAAACTATCACAGGTCAAGTCCTGTATTTACTGAGGATAAAAACTACATAAAAATACAAAGAACATTTTCAGCTATGTCTTTGGCGTCTGCATTACACAACATGCCCTGGAGATGGCTACCTCTTACTGAGCTCCTTTCCTTAAAAAAATTCTAACTATCCAAAGAATGCAGTAAAGCCATGAAATATGACTGTTGTCAAATAATACCACGAGAAAAATTATAATCCACTTAGGAATTTAAAAGAACCAAGACAAATTGCCAATGGCAGGGGATGCAAGCATTTAAGCTGGTGCAGAACAAAGACAAATCACCTACACTTGTTTTATCAGCCAGCATATATATTTGTAACAGCTCCTCACCAATTTTGTGCTTATATTCTACAGCAACAGCCTTTCTGGTCCATGAAACGCACGTCTGCAAATTGCTACAGCTCTCTCTGCCACACCCCTGTGCTTCCCCACAGCTGTGGAGCAAACACCAAGCCTTGACAAGCCTCTGTAGGACCTGAAAGGTGGTTGTAGTGAGGCAGGTGTTGGTCTCTCCTCCCAGGTAACTTGCGATAGGACGAGAGGCAATGGCCTCAAGTTGCGTCAGGGGAAGTTTAGATTGGATATTAGGAAAAATTTCTTTACTGAAAGGGTAGTCAGACATTGGAATAGGCTGCTCTGGGAGGTGGTGGAGTCACCATCCCTGGAGGTGTTCAAAAAACGTGTAGATATGGTACTTCAGGACATGGTTTAGTAGGCACGGTGGTGTTGGGTTGATGGTTGGACTTGATGATCTTTGAGGTCTTTTCCAATCTTAATGATTTTCTGATTCTATTTTAAGTTTTTTATGAAACAGTGGTGGCCAAGATACAGATAGCAGTGAAGCCAACCCTCTCACACTCCTGACGAAAGTGAGCTGGGCATGCAGAGCTGCTGGGGTACCCGCTCCCTGGCTGCTCCTGTCCATCGGGGCTGCGTGGCCCTACATAACCATACTGAGCAGCATGTGGAGGGTGAGTAGCTCCCCAGGCCCTGATGAGGCTGGGTGACATGGATGCGGAGCCAGGTGGAGGGCAGGTGGCTGGAGAGAGGGCCTTTGACAGCTGCTTCTCTGAGGATGACCTTGCTGACCCTGACTGCAAGGGCGCTGCACCCAGGGGCCCAGCCGTGATTTCAGCCCCCTGAATCACCCTCGCACGCCTGGGAGTCATCCCCGCACAGCGTCCTCTCAAACAGCCCTGGTCCCGCAGCGGGACAGAGAGCTGGTGGCTTGCTGGACCCCGCACTCCCACGGGAGGGCTGAGCAGGACAGGGAGGTGGCAGCACTCACAGCTTTGACTGCCCTGCACAGCCTAACAGCAGCACCTTGGTAGAGCTGGGCAGCTTCGTGAGATCTGTAGGTTCCTGCAAATCTCAAGCACAACAACGATGAGGGTGAGGCCATCTATATCATTACTTGCAGCAACAAAACCCTACAAGAAAACACCATGGGGAGCGGCTGGCAGCTTAAACAGCTCACAGTCTTGTGTGCCCAAACTCCACCAGCCAAAGGAGAAGTACATTAAAAAGGCTCTGCTGCAGGTCTTCTCTCTTCCTGACATGGAGG